GCAAGGCGCGAATAGGGACCTCGCCTCCGCGCTGGGGCTGCAGGAGGCCCGCGGGTTAACTAGGAACAGCGAAAAGACGGCAGCGCTGCCGAGGCGGGAAGTGGGGGGCGTGAAGGAGCCGGAATTTGGTGCGACGGGGGCTTGGCCTGCAGAGCGCTGTGACCAAAGACGGAGGGCTGCCCACCTCGAAGAACTGTGAGTGGGTGGGGGGCACCCTGGCACCGCCGCTGTCACCGAGGCCCCGCCCCTCCACGGTATTTACAGAACATCGTACTTGTTGAAAAGAAGAAAGGAAACGGCCCGGATCCCTTGAGCTACAAACTGCCGCGCACACGCCGTCTGCACGTTCGAGAAGCTCACAGACCTCTGCGTCTCGGGCAGGTGGATGGAGGTGACTCAGACGGCGCACGGTGCCCAGTGCCCAGAGTTCTAGCTACGCCGCGGGGAAGAGCGGGGAGAGTCTCCAAGTACCTAGTGGCTCCCGGGCTGCAGCCCCCCTCACAGGGACCTAGTTTTAACCTCAGCCGATAGGAGACAACTTACCAGCGGGGCATGAACGTCCGGAGTAGGACTCACATTTAAGTGGAGCAATTTTCCCTGATTCTCCAAAATCTCCTTAGTATCAAAATGAACTCCCCGAGCACCTGCCCACTCGACTCCCCCCAGAGCATCTCGGATGCTTTGGCACGTTTGTGTTGTAGGTAGCGATTTCAGGTAAACCGTCAGATCACTGGTTTCTGTATGATTTTAGACCACCACCACCCCAGGTCAACTTGCAACTTTTGAAAAACTTTTGATTTCACTTATTTCTCAGTTTTTCTTTTAATCTTGTGTATTGGCCCACTGTCTCCTACCCAAAGAACCAACTAAGTTAAGGCTGGAACAAAACAGGCAAGAGGCACAGAGTGACATGCTTTTCCTCAAACCAGAGACTTTCTCAGAAATTAACAGGATGCCACACTTTTATTCAGTCAAGTTAAGTTTTCCATTATCAGAGTCTCTGTAATAAACAACAGGGTTTTTTCAAAGAAATTTCTGGCCGCAGCCTGTTTTTCTTCCTTTCTTCTTTCATTGATCCGTTCATTCAACAAATATTTTCTGAGCACCTGCTACCTGTCAGGAGCCGTTGGAAGCACTCGGGACACTTCAGCGAGCAAGGTGAAGACTGCTGCCTCCACGTGGCTTTGCATTTTAATCAGTGACTTGCTTTTCCCCAAAGTGCTCACAACCAACAGACGAGAGGTCGTTAAGAACAAAAACGACAGACTAGAGCTTTTCGCACTTTCGCACACGTGTCCTCGGCCCGGGCTTAGTCGTTCGAACACTCCCCTCGCTCGCCACTTGCAGACGCTGAAAACCACGCTGACCCTGCCTTAAGCTGTGATCGCTAACCTTCAACGCCATCTTCTGGCTTACTCCTTTGCCATATTGATCTCCTGGAAGTGATACAGATTTTTCACGATGAGGTGGATACAAAGAATTATGTGTCTTGATCACTAAACCTCCCGATGCCCTGTTCTCCGGGGAGCGAGGGGGTGGCAGGAAGGCGCTGCCTGGTGCTCACCAAAGACTTTTACATCTTAGTCATAGTTGAAACAGAAAGGACAGAAGCTTCTATGGTTGACCCTCCCCCACACACTTGAGAAAATCAAAGTGCTCCCCAGGAGAAGCCTGGACATCATCTTCACCTGTCACAGCTCACCAGCAAGTGAAAGCAAATAGGAAATCAGTCCACTGAATGCTGTGGACACAAAAGCTGGTCGTCGCACTCTGCGAGGAGGCTATCTGCCCACGTTCGAGTGCTGTTCAGTGGAGCCCCATCTGAAGGGAGCTGTCCAATTTGCATTTCACATTTATTGTAAGGAAACTGTAAGAAAAGTTGAATTTACCTAAATTCAGTATTTTAAAAATCAATCTTTTAAAATTGTACATTCACGTGCTAGAAAAATGTTTCAGAAAAACTCATGCTAGACACACACCAAAAAATACTGAGACCTTGTTTTGGCTAAAACTACTTTCTCACAAATTCATCCTTTAAAAAGGGGTGAGATTATACTGTATTAAAAACAGTGCAACTATATCATTGAAAAAGCTTAAGGGGCAGTAATTTTTAGTTACTTGTAAAAAAGCAGGACAATACTAAGAATGTTTTATTGTTGTGATGTAATTTATATAAGATAAATGTCTCCTCTAATGCTTTTTGGCTGAACACACATGCAGTATTAATTATTACCTTTGCCCATGGCATCCTGTGTGGCAGGATTATGCTATTGTTGGATTATTTATTGTTATGTAAGTAGTGATGTATACTGTGCAACTGTACAGCAGTACACAGTGTGCTGTCCGAGAGTAACACGCTGCAGTGCCCCACACAGCACCCGACCGCGCTTCAGCGATGGAGGGCTCGTGTGTCACAGTGCGAGTGTGCTGCAGCACTGCGTGACGCGCAGTAGGGTATTACAGTGCTAACCGTTGTGCAACACTGTAGGACATCATTATCGTCTGCGGTTATTGACAGTTAAGTGCTCAGGCGTGGGGTCAGCGAGACTGGCTCCGATCTGTGAGGACTGTCGACTGAAGCCTCACCGTCCTGTCTCCGACAGAGGCAGTGCCTTCGCTGCCTCCAGCCCCGGGGCCAACGGGAGGGCGCTGAGCACACGTCTGGGGCGTCCCGTGCTCGGTTGTTGCTTATGCTGTGCTCGACATTTCGGGATGTTTCATGGACTTTGTCTCATTTCGACCCCCCACCCCTAGGACAGGGCAGGCAGTGCTCAGGCCCCACCCTGGGCCGCCGTGGGCCATGGCCTGGGCCCCGTTCTGACCAGCCAGCGGTCCTTCACCCTGGTCTGCAGGCGTCTGGCTGCCTGCGGCGACAGTATCTCAGAATCAGCCTCCGAGTGCAGGCCTGCCAGCCTGGAGGGGACACTTCCACACTGGCCCGGCTCTGTCCGGGGTTGGGGGGTGACAGGCAGGCCTTCCGACCTTCTCGGCTGTGCCACCAGGCAGCCCCTGGACCTTCTTCCAGCCCTAGCTAGCTGTTTTCTTCCTTCCGCTCTTGGAACCAGTGGCCTTTTTGGTTATGCTGAGTTCAGAGTAAGAGAAGCTGCATTTTTTAAAGCCACTGACCTAACCACTGGCCCCCACTTCTTCCTCCAAAGCCGTATTCACACTGAGGAAACAAGGGAGCTGTCCTGACTCCCAGCCACTGCCCTCGAGTGTTTAATCCTCTGGGAAAACCTAACCTATAAGCCACTTGTGCAGGAGAGGAGTTGGGATAGAATGCTGTCTGGGAAAGAAATTAGTGTTAAATGCTGTCCCAGCACACCCGGATTAAAGGGTGGTGGACAAATCCCTGGCAATGCCAACGCGGCACTCAGATCTGGATCTTTTTGTACAGAGCTGTGTTCACTTTCCTAATTTAGTTCGCAGAGTGCCCTGAGCTTCAGTGAAGGAGCTTTGCAGAGGAGCCTGGAGGGCTCCCAGAGCTCAGCCACGGCAGCAGGAGTGACCTCCCCACTCTGGGCAGGTTGGAAGCTGGGTTGTGATTTCAGTCAGTTATGCAGTAGAAAGTCAGGGAGTCAAAGACACTGTGTGAACAGCTGTCCCTTGTCTCCTCCTCTGGCCAGTGTTCTGAGAAGTGTCCTGTGACGCATCCTTTCTCTGACTCTACGTAAGCTTTAACAAGGGACCTCTTGATTCTGCGAACTCCCTTCTCCAAGTCAACAGAAGTGCGAGGTGTTTGCAATGACTTTGGGCAATTTTCTGAAAATTGAAGAAAGAGGTGAAAAGCCAGTTCCACTCATTTGCGGCAGTCCCTGAGGCTGGGCT